GTTTGCCTATCCACTGTTGGTTGAGGGGGTTACCCATGCCATGTCAGCCACTTCAAGTTGATTAGCCATACTTCACCTTGCTGGTCAATGCAGGTTGGTGAAAGACGGAGAGGGGGGGGGGGGCAGGTCCGATTGAGGTATCACTCGTCACTGACGTTAGCCGTGGCACAGGAATCGAAATGCGGTGGTCGGGGTTCGTCGTGCTAACCACCGCGCCGCCGCTCCGCCGACTCTGTACGTGCTACTTGCGCTTACATTCCAACCTCTTCTGATTATACTTCACTAATTCAACCTCCGCGGAGATTAGAAATCGTTAAATTGTTTTTTCAACATACATTAAAACACAATGCGTGAAATTTGCGAAATCAGCAGCAATTTCGAAAGCGTTACTCAATTTGCCAAACCTCCCCGTGTGGAGCTGAGATGGGCATCAAACTAATGAACTTCAAATCCCTGCTGTGACTTGTATTGTTTTTGCCCGTTTGACAATGATGGTTTGAGAAATTCGTACAAACTGCAAGTGAGCTAACGTTTCTCCTCCGTGTCGAATATGACCTTTCAGCATATGAACGCTAAAGTTAAGTAAAAAAAAATCGCTGTTAATGTGCCACATGCATAATACACGCAAGCACACTTTCACCAGACACACCATGACGTTTACACCAAAATCCACTCATGGTTGTACTATATTAGGACATAAAAGGTGCAAGAATCGCATGATAATTGAACGCACTGCTGTGCATGTAGACATAAGGCGTTGCGCTATTTTATACAAGTTCCTAAAACACCCCTGTTTCATTATAGAATTGCAAGTCAACTTTGTTGTGCACACGTACGTAAAGTATGACGGTATTTTCTTCACGTTGCATTTGCCGGATGATGATGAGGAGTCGTGACCTTAAAACGGAGACACGCTAGGGCACTGTATACTTTCATCAGCCTCAGAAATGCCATCCACATAGAGCGCAGTCAAAATGTTTCAACACCAGCCCATTGAAGTATCGTAACACTCAGGTTATGCTTTTTTTTACTTTAAAGACCCGTCACATCATGGAAGAATCATGCCAAAGTATAGACAAGGAAGTTAAGAGTTGGCGCACTACATCCAATATCCAATTTTCAAACCCTTTGGACTGGCCCGCGTAGACCTGCTTTATATAAATCATGTGATCATTACCTACTAAGGCAAGCCGTGATCATAAAAAAAGAGATAAGTGCTGCTATCTCCCTGATAGATACTACAGCCATTAACATCATCACTACATTCCATTAAGCATTACCGGTGAAGCAATCCTCGGAGCACGTGACACACATCGCGGCTTCGCTCGAACCCTTCGGCACTGCCCAGAGTTCATCTTACCAATCCCTCTCGCAAGTTTTTTTCAAGCTCGCAACTTTTTTAAACTACAAATTACCAATCAACAAAATCTGTTACATTTTTAGAAGTATTCCTACGACTTAGGTGAAACTTTCAAAATGTGTTCTCTTTTTTTTTATATATAAACAAGACTACAAAGCGAGGGTAAAAATAATAATAATAATAATGTGAATGCAGAGGCAGAAAAGAAGCCCGGACCACAAGTCTTGTTTTGAGAAAATGTTTTAAACATTCAGCGGTGCACACTGTGCAGCCTTTGGTGACAGACTGTTGAAAATTGGAGATACCTTGCACAAGCTGTTTGTCCCAACCCTTTGAAACATCGACAGGGCTGCCTGCCACCGAATGGTCTGGCGGGCATTTGCATAAGCATTGCAAGGGAAACCCGCTGGCAGAAACGCGTTAAACGAGTTGCCGCTCACAATGTAGGCTCCCGAAAAATAAATAGCAAAACGCAATTAAACGCAGGATTGTGGTCCAATTCAACTTGTGATATCAACAAAAAGGATTGATGTGTGGTGCGAGTCGGAGTGTAACGTTTATTTCATATTTCTCCACACCGTCCGTATAATTTAAAATACTCATGCTTTCTTGCAAGCTTTGGTAAGATTAAACATCGTCCGTGCACACGAATATGTACATACGAGAAGTGATCAGTAGACTTTAGCAATGCAATGTTGGCGATAAGCAGATTCACGCTAATTTTGTAATTTTATTTTCAATAAAATGATCACGGTGTGGTATGTCATGTAATTTGTATACTGAGCAGAGCTTCAAATAAGGACAAGAATTGTGATTGTGACATTTTTATTACATGCGCTAATATATGCACACGTGATTACATGTAATCTGGTATTTGTTTGTTATATTTTTGACATAATGCAATTTCATCAAGTAGACTAACGGGCAGAGACAGGCTCCGTCAGAGGCACTGTAAGACTTAGTTTTTATTTTCTACAAGGTTACATGTGGTGAAAGACTGTTTCAAGCTACGGCAGGCTTAGCAGTAAATTGGACCCCCATCAGAGCCAGACCCTAACAGCTGTGGCAGGACCTGCCAAAAAAAAAAAAAGAGTTCTCCATTTCAGCCTGCGTTATCTCACGCGACCTAACACATCGCTTCAGCGGTAATGTACATTAACGGATGAAACTGTGAAAAGACAGGTGACCTACGCGGCGCAACGGACGGCGTACCGATGGCCATGCAAAGAGAAATGTAAAAGGGTATGTTAATGTCGACATATGCCAATGTCAAGGCTGAAATGTCACACCTGTGGCCCAGCCGAAGGGAATGCAAAGATGACATTTTTAGATGCTGCAATAAAGAATGAGACATGGAAAGCAATTTCGCTCTCTTCTTCGTTGTTAATGTTCGTGGCTAGTCAGCCTTGGACTGATCCTAAGGAATAGTGGTCAAATTGAATTCTAGATGGCAAAGATTATAGAGGTTAAAAAAAAAAAGCTTTCAAGCTCCCCTGAACAGAATATCCTGAAGGCAGAATGTTCCTTCTGATCTCGTTTCTGCAATCACTACACTCTCTCCAAATAACTATTCAATTATCGACCAACAAAAAAAAGTCTCATGTATCTCTGCATTGTTAACAAAATGTCTATATTTCTTAATTAAAAGAGATATCATAGAGTGCCGGGCTGCATTGTTACTGAAAAAGCTACAAAGTGCAATCCAATGAGACTCTCCGGTAGTCACTAAGGGTGGAAATGGTGCATCGATTGATTCGTATTAACTCTTGAAGCGCACGATACATACATCGAATACGCATGTGTAAGAATCGATGCTTTCAATGAATATGGCTTATACGAAATTGATTCATGTCGCACCTGCAGCCACTCATGGTGATTAACATTCACCGACATATAGAGAAATTATAGATTTTTACTGCAACCATGAATTGTGACAAATCATCAAATCGGCGAATGGGTGAGTTGTTCCACCTCTGGTAGTCACAGTGAGTTATTGTATATTTTTATGGACAGCCATTCTGAGAAATAACATTTATTGGTGACATGGAAAATGCTCAGTCACAAATATTCTGGGGCAGGATAAGTCTGGGACAGGCTTTGATTTATACTGACAATTTAGTCACTGCATAAAGTCATAAATACAAAGGTACTTCTTCTTGCACCCTCGGATTTATCACACACCATCACTAATAACAAATGTACGGACATGAAAGCAACACACTATTGTTCTGTAAAGGATTTCGCATTGTTCAGTATTATACAGAATCTTCAAAGTAACGTCCTTATTTCTGTATGTGAAATCAATGGAGTAAATCCCAACCGTTCATCAACAACTGCTGGTGAGAGCCTCCACACTTCGTGGCAGTTGTGGATTTTGTTTGACCATACTTCCCCACACTGATCAGTGCAGATTTGTGAAGGGGATCCCATCCAGGACCGGTTTTAAACTATCACTCGCCACTGACGTTAGCCATGGCTGGAAAGTGAGCCAACCACTGCACCACTGATGCACTGAGCATAATGTAAGAAATGCATGAGTGTAGTGTATGTAGATAACACACCCTTGTTCATGTCTGTGTGCATATCATGGAGGGAGCGGTTGTGTAAAAGTTCAACATAAATACAAAGCGTGCTGCGTGAAGAACCCAGCGACCCGAGTTCGATTTCCGCTAACGACCAATAACAGTGGCGAATATTCAAACCAGTCCTGGGCCTCCCCTAGGTCGACTCAGCCTCAAATGAGTACCTGGTGCGGCATGTAAACATTGCCGCTGGAGAAGCAAAGGCGACCGGGCGGGCTACTGGCCACCCCCCCTCTTGTGTGCCATCTAAGCCTTCATAGGTGCTAGCTTACAGCACTTGCCCCAACAGTCTGTTAAAGCTGTACGGGGGTCTTTATCTTCATGCAGATTATAAGCGTGATGAGCTCTGAGTGACTGGAAACATTGCTTCAAATCAGTGCAATTAAATTGCAAATGATAAAAATCAAGAAGAGTAGCTCAGGGTGTATGGCAGAGAGAAAAGTGGATGCCAGCTATGATGGGTTTCACTGTTGTAAAAACACCTTCGGGCAATGCAAATCGTGAAGCCCTGCCACCGTCCCATTGTTGAAAAAGAACACCTGTACACGCATCGTGAATGGAACGTATGCTTATATGCCGGGTGTTTATGTGAACATGCCTGATGATGGCAGGCAATGCTCGTTACCCACATAAGTTGTTATTATGAGCTTTACCGAATGCTCAAAAACACCTGCAAGCAATCCAGCACAACACATATTTCATTGTACTGTATCAGCCATTTAGTTTAATTAGACCCTTCAAGGCGCATTTACATAAAACCCAAGCTCTTGCGTGAAGGCAGGAACGGCGGCGGTGTCAAATTCTATGACAAATGCATGTCAACATCATTAATTCCATGTCAGTGTTTTTTTAAATTTACAGGAGAGTATTCCTCAAGCAGATCTTTTTCCTTCAAAACGAATGGGACAATCCGAGCGATACCCTTTACACGGCAATGAGGGCATACTTTACGTTGCGCATTCAAAGTGCTCGGCGCATAACCGCAGAAGAGTGGAATATAAATGCAAAGTGCCGACAATAGAGCGGATGGGATCGCGGAGCCAGGCCAGGGCACCCACCGTTAAGAACGGGAAGAAGACCCCGGGGCTTCTTGTCTTCGCACTTGTTGCACTCGCTGAAGTAGAGCAGTAGAAATCCGTCGAGCAGCACCCACACGAGCGACGTGGCGAGCACCACTTTGCAGTAGGCGACGCGTCGCATGGTGCACCGCAACACCGCCACAGCGGCGGCGTCTGGGTAGCTCCCCACCGCAGGTGCAGCCCCCCCACGTCCCACACCTCCCCACTACGCCCACCCCACCCCAGGCAAGAGGCGAAAGCGGAGATTCACGCTCGTTGTAACTGCGCCCACACCAAAGATTACAAATTTGCGATTCTAAAAATGTCTTGCCGCTGGTTATTGTTAAATGGCTTCGTGGCGTTGCTCTTGGTGCATTTATTTTAATGCCAAATATTATGACCTCCACGTGCAACCAACATGGCAATGCAGAAGGCCAGACCGCCCCGCTCCGTTCAATCCCTCCTGTTTTTGCGGAACAAAACTGCAGTGTGTGGTGGAGACCCACAAAATGACTTCATATCATTAGGAATTGAAGGCAACGGGCGCCAAGGTCATAGTCTGGTTATAGATCGCGTCATAACATTGCATTACGTGCCATCCACATTTTCAACTCGGGAGGCACGGACGAAGCTGGTATTATTTCTTAGACCTAGAAGAAAACGAAAGAAGAAAAGTACATATATTGCACGAGGTCAATTTACCATAACCTGCCACGTCAACGATAATCAACAAAGAGCGCGCCGTATGCATGGCACGCCTTGCAGTATCGTGAATGGTTTAAAGTAAATAGTTTCTTTGACAATATATTTTTTAGAAGAAATGCATCAAAATGTAAATAATAAATGCTGCATAGTCACTTTCTGCACAAAAAAATTAGTATTTCAATGGGCACCACCATTTCACATGATTTCTGCGTTGCCAGAGGGGGTGCTTGTAACATTATGCAGGACTTGGGTAAGGTGTCACACGAAGGAATAAAGATGATAATAAAAATACAGCTAATGTCCAACAATAATAAGATCCTGACATCATTATTTTGGTAAATGGAATAATTACCATTAAACAAGGGGACCTTGGTCAACATTTAAAATTACATGTTGTATACTCATTTAAAATGTAAAATATAAACTGAATATTAAACCAAATCTGAAATAAATCCGTTATTCTGAACAAACATATGATGATAAATGCCTCAGAGTGAAAATTATTTTTTTTTACAATTTAAAATATGCTTTGAAGCCTAATAATTAAAATCAGGCTTTTCACAAAAATGAAACGTTATACGTGATTGCAGTGCCCATTAACAAACACGTGCTATTTTTGTTGTCAATTCCATTTTACAGCTGCCCAGTTGATTATATTGACACTGCGTTATCGCCGAGCCAAAATTTGTGAACACTCAAGGTTTTACATGAACGTTTATAGATGTGAAGAAACAAAGGCATTCAAGTGTAATTGTGCACCTCTTACAAAAGTTGTAAAGATCCTTTGTATTTGAATTGAGAAATTGAATTAACATTTTTTTACCCAACTTAATATAAACAGCATGGAATTAAAAAGTGACAGCTGAAAATTGGTGTTGGTATTTATGTATTTTTCACAAGTTATTCATATCACACTGCCATATAAGAAACGTTGAACAAGCTAGGCAGTGTGAACACAACAATGCATTCTATGACAGACAAAAATATATTACTGTAGTATATCATGTATTCCACGGTACATGTATACAGTGTTCTTATTCCCCTGGGTGTTTTGTATAGACCATAATTTGTTTCGCAACTCGTTAGTCAGACTTCCCATTGCCTCTGGGTTCTGAGCATGCGGTGCTAATTTAGAGCTGAAAAAATATTACATCACGAAAATGTCACAAGTCAACGGTAAAAGCACTCCCGCCTCCCGTTTGGAAAGTGCTGCCAAGAAAAACGTCAAGCATACAACCAGTTTTACAATTCTATCACTAGTGACAGTGTTCTCATAAACAGATGTAGGCAACAGTATGGCTGCGTCTGCTGCATGCCTGACATTTTCATGGGAGGAAATGTAACTTTTTTATTTGCAAAATTCACAGAATAAACTGAGACTACTTATTTTATACACAACTCGCCAATATAGTCTCCAATTTTATACTACTGCTCGCGATAAAGGCATCTTTATTAGTTTCAAAAATCGTATGATCTACACATTTCTTTGGTCAATAAAAGTCGGTGTCTCCCAAATCAAGCCAGTATGGGGCATTGCTCTATGGAAATAATTGTCTGTCCATAAACAACCACTGTTGACTTCTCACCATGGACTCAGGTGGGATTATCGGGTGCAAATACTTATTCTAACACGATTTAGTTGACTTGGAATTTAGCAGCGACTACTTGCAAACCCACCTGGCCATTTATTAATTCTCCACCTTGTATTTTCGTAACCAATAATACCGAGCAATGGTGGTGAGATGTTAACTACCTCGCCTGGTATGCAGGTCGTGGGTTCGATTCAGACCCTGATTCCTGTATATTTGGAGTTTGCATGTCCTCCCCGTGGTCTTGTGGATATTGGCCTCCGATTTTTCCCTCCACATTTAGAAACACGCGTTTCAGAGTATTTGGCTGCTATAAATTTCCAATTATTAAACGACTTTATTGAGCTATCATTTGTGGCCAAATTGCTTCTGAAAAACAGCTATATAGCTCAGTGGGCTTAACCTGGTAAAATACAGTTTTATTTTAACCGCATGCTCATGGTTATAGCTCGGGCATTGCTGGAGGTAAGTGCCATAATGACTTAAAAGCAAAGTTTGAGTCAAAAGTGGGGAGTTAAGTTATAACCAGGAGGGGTTTTTTTTCCTTTAACAGGCATGAATTTTCTTGGCCAATTTCCCCAATCCACTTCATTAAAGTCGACTATATAAGTGATGCCGCCAATTTGTGGAGGGTAAAAAGTCCACCCGAAACCCCCCTGCACATAAGGTCAAATGTGGCTTTTTTTTACCACAATCACAATTCGCTAAGGACACCCCAAACTGCATTGTAAATCATAACGGAGCCAATGCCAGGCTCACAAGAATTAGAGCAGCAGAGCTGACCATAGGATGACGCTAGGTTTACAATGCGAGGTCTGTCTGGCGAGGTGGAAGTGGCGATTGATGGACCCTGAATAAATGGCACCGTCATTTACGAGAAACACTACAGCAAGTATTAGGCTGCTGACCTCTATTTTAAATGTTGGATGTCATCCTCTCATTTTCCAGGCATTTTCTCTGGATACTGACATTTCCTCCATCGCGCATAAGACGAATAGAATGAGAGATCGGTCCAAACAAACCCAAACAAGATTGAGAGATTTTCCTGGAGAAATTAATGTATTTTTACCACATTAGAGAGCAGCCGGCGTTTCACCTGGAGAAGCGCTTGAGAGAAGAACCACCAATGTATCTCCTCCTCCCCCGAGTCACCCCTGCTTCATTGAGCTCCCAATCATCCTCCTATTCCCCTTTGTCCACCATTCACCTTTAGTTACCCCCCCTCCTCCCGTGTCCTCTTACGTCTCCCCTCCTCTGCACCCATTTCCCCTCGTCCTTCCTCCACCTCTCACTACTTGCACGCTCTCATCTCTCTTTCTTTTTTTACGATCAGAGGAAACAAGAAGATGCTCGATGTAGTCAGCACTTTGCTTCATTCATCATGTCGGTTTTTTTTTCCATTGCCTTGTTTTATGTGCTCCCCCCCCCCTTTTAAATGAAATTTTCCCATTGTGAAATAAAATCAATCTGTGCTACTTTCTTCGTAGACACAAACATCAACACGAAGAAGCATGCTCTGCTCCTCCTCCTTACCCCTTTCCTCTCTCTCTACCCCCTCTCTCTCTACCCCCTCTCTCTCTACCCCCTCTCTCTCTACCCCCTCTCTCTCTACCCCCTCTCTCTCTACCCCCTCTCTCTCTACCCCCTCTCTCTCTACCCCCTCTCTCTCTCTACTCCCTCTCTCTCTACCCCCTTTCTCTCTCTACCTCTCTCTCTACCGCCTCGCTCTCTCTCTCTACCGCCTCGCTCTCTCTCTCTACCCCTCTCTCTCTACCCCTCTCTCTCTCTCTCTACCCCTCTCTCTCTCTCTACCCCCTCGCTCTCTCTCTACCCCCTCGCTCTCTCTCTACCCCCTCGCTCTCTCTCTACCCCCTCGCTCTCTCTCTACCCCCTCGCTCTCTCTCTACCCCCTCGCTCTCTCTCTACCCCCTCGCTCTCTCTCTACCCCCTCGCTCTCTCTCTACCCCTCGCTCTCTCTCTACCCCCTCGCTCTCTCTCTACCCCCTCGCTCTCTCTCTACCCCCTCGCCCTCTCTCTACCCCCTCGCTCTCTCTACCCCCTCTCTCTCTCTACCCCCTCTCTCTCTCTACCCCCTCTCTCTCTCTCTACCCCCTCTCTCTCTCTCTCTACCCCCTCTCTCTCTCTCTACCCCCTCTCTCTCTCTACCCCCTCTCTCTCTACCCCCTCGCTCTCTCTACCCCCTCGCTCTCTACCCCCTCGCTCTCTACCCCCGCGCTCTCTCTACCCCCTCTCTCTCTCTACCCCCTCTCTCTCTACCCCCTCTCTCTCTCTACCCCCTCTCTCTCTCTACCCCCTCTCTCTCTCTCTCTACCCCCTCTTCTCTCTCTACCCCCTCTCTCTCTACCCCCCCTCTCTCTCTACCCCCTCTCTCTCTACCCCCTCTCTCTCTCTCTACCCCCTCTCTCCACCCCCTCTCTCTCTCTACCCTCTCTCTCTCTACCCCCTCGCTCTCTCTACCCCCTCTCCCTCTCTACCCCCTCTCCCTCTCTACCCCCTCTCTCTCCACGTTCCCCCTGTTTTCTACGTAAATAAAAAAAATACCCTCGGTTCGCTTTCATTCATCTGCTCCATCTGCTCCACACCTTCGCTCCCTGACCCCCTCCCTCTCTCCCCTTCTCTCCCTGTCCCCTTGGTCTCCCTTGTATCCCCTTCTCACCCTGCCCCCCCTAATAGCCCTTCCGTCCGTGTTCCCCTCGGTTCTCCGAGTCCCTGTTTTCCTCCTCCTGGTCATCCGACACCCTCCAATCCCGCGATTTGCCGAGGGGCGATGCCCTTCTTCATCATCATCATCCCGCTTCTGATGCTGCTGCCTCTCTATTTTGTTTTTACGATCAGAGGAAACAAGAAGATGCTCAGTGTAGTCGGAACTTTGCTTCGTTCATCATTTCGGGTTTTTGTTTTCAATGCTTTGCTTTATGTCCCCCCCCCCCCATTTTTAAATGAAATATTTCACAAAAAGATTTCACGCTCTGCTCTCCTCCTTACCCCTTCCCTCTCTCTCTCTCTACCCCCTCTCTCCCTACTCAATGTCTATGTTCCCCCGATGTTTTCTATGGATTTTTATTTTTACTACGACTCTCACTTCGCGCCCCCTCTCCCCCGTCCCAACATCACCAACGCAATCCACACAACACGAACACCGACGTCTAGTTTACTCGCAAACTACGACTGCGGCGCTGTGGTTGTTGTTGTTACAGCAGCGGGGGGAGGAGGATGAGCAGCGAGGGGGGTCGTGTCTCCTCGCTCTCGGGAGTCACTCACTGAGGGAGGGGGGGGGTAGCCGAAACGTCGCTCGCTTGTGACGGGGACGCGAACGGCAGCCCACCACACAACTCGGCTGCGTGTACGGATCGAGGGCTCCTCACAAGACCACCACCACCAACAACAACAACAACTCGTAACTAATATAAAAAATAACTGGCGGAAAATTTAAAAGTCGGAAGCCGCCAAAACACCACCCACCACCACCCCCCCAAAACAAATCACAGCCCACCACCACCAACACCACCCACTGAACTTACCTGGGTTGGAAAGCAGCGGAGCGGACTCAGCTGCCAAGGACACGTTGGTTGTTGTTAGTGGTTGTTGTTGTTGGTGGTGGTGGAGTGCTGACGAACAACAACAAAACTCTTAAAGAGACCTCCTCCACCACCACACACGTTCGAGCGGCGAGGGAAGAGCGCGCGAGAGAGAGAGGGAGCGACTCGGCAGAGGATGAGGAAGACGAAGAAGCCGGGCGAGGAGACAGAGATAGTGCTGAGAGGGAAGAGCCCCTGGGAGAGATGAGAGGGAGATGAGAGGGAGCCGGCGTCTCTCCACGCCGCCGCCGCTGCTGCCGCGACTCCTCCTCGCGCTCCCCCTCAGGGCAGCGAAGAGCCCCACCGCCCCACGGGGGAGTGGAGGTGTGGTTGGACGCTACTAAGTACGCGCACCCCCCTCTCTCTCTCATCAACGGGGGGGAGGGGGAGCGTCGGCGTGTCCAAGTCGCGAAACGGCATTGTTCATTGGCTGCCATGTTGTCACGTGATGAGGCGAGTCCATCTTGAGTGAGCGAGGAGGGGGGGAGACGGTGGTTGAAGGTGTGTGAGACGCACGCGCGCGCGCTCGCTCGCTTCGAGCGTGGAGTTAGCGGAGCCGCTGCGGAGCGGTGGGAACCCGGCTTCGTAATCGCGGCTCCCGCGGACGAAGCGTTGCGATTGAAGGGGTTGGGGTGTTCATCGTCGAGCCCGCCGGAGCAATGGGCAACAGCTGGGACGTGCAGCTGTTGACGGCCACGAGACTTCTGCAGAGCGCCGGTGTGTTTGTGGGGGTGGTGGTTGCAGGCAGCTGACGAGCGTGCTTCTGGCTGCTGTTTGCTGTAAGGAGCATGGTGAATGGAGATGTGTGGAGACCGGGTTCTCGGGTCCAAGGGACCAGGTACTTCACTGCTCCAGTGGGGGGGAGGGGGGGGCTTGGTTCTCACTCGCCTCCCCACGCCCCCACCGAGTGACCCACCCCTTGCCGACTAGAAATCTGTGAAAAAGAGCTTTGTAGCTCATCGGATTTCTCCGGTATGAATAAATATTCTGGTTCAGAGGTGCGCCCCCTCCACCCACAGTTATTACTTCGCAAGGTTGGGGATGGGGTGAATAGCGGTGGAGTAACTCGCGTCTCGAAAACCAAAACCAGACGCGAATTCGTGAAACTTAACCGGACCTGCGCACAGCTGGATGAGTTAACTCCAATGAAAATGTCTCATCTCATTGAAACAATCACCCCTGTTTTAACACAAGAGGCTTTACGGGAAGAAACTTTTGAACGAAAAGAGCCGCCGGTGCAATTCAAACAGAAAACTTACAGCACGAGCCGATAAGGGGCAATCATGTTTAGCAAGGCGACATCCGGATTATAATCACGCGGAACAAACACGGCATTCCAAGATTTCGCAGGGAAAACTTCCCCCCCCGCGCCCCCCCCCCCGTTTTTAAAGTCCCCATTGTTGTTGTTGTATCCCTGCCATAAGCAATCCCATTCAATATTAATGACCGGAGCCCGTGGATCAGAAAACAATGCGCGTGAGAGGACATTTCATATCCCGCTGGCAGAGACACGACGGCCTTCCCACCCCCCACCACCACGCCATCACCTCCCTCCACGTGTACGAGTCGTACCTGCTGACGTGTAGACAGATGCGTCTATGTAAATAACCCTCGCGTGAATGTAAACCTGTGCGTGTGTGCGCGCTAACCACTTAGACTCTTCATTCGTCACGGAGCCGCCACTTCGGGCATCAGAAAGAAAAAAAACTCCCGGTTCGAAGCTCCAGAAACGTCGTCGTCTCTTATTATTATTCCTCGCCAACTTTTCTGAAATCTCACTGAAGAGCGCTCTTGCCAATGGCAATCTGGTGATTCGGCTGCATTTTGTTCAACAAAGCCTGCTGCCTCTGCTGATGAGATCCAGGAGGTCTAAACCGGGGCATCATTTCCTTGCTTAAGTGCCTCCTTCATTATAGTTTTGCCAAATAGGCTGATGGGCTATAATTTTCGTTGTGTGTGTGACTGCGTTGTGCGTGGAGACGGAACGGAGTTCTGATTATGTAGCTCAATGAAGCGATGGATTGGCGTCACAGCCTTCCCTCATACACACAGCGGGTGAGATAGCCGGAGCATAATGCACAGAATGCACGACAGACAAGAGCTGAGCACATCGTTTTTCACTCTCTGTTGTGTTTTGACCATTTGTCTTAAGTTTGGCTGAACATTGACAGTGTCGTTCGCGAGCACATCTCACGCGTTCATCACGGCACACGCCTCTCACGCACGCACGTGAGTACACGTCACTTACGCACAGCGAGCTCACCAACAACCTCAAAGACACCCCAAGACCCCCATCACCCTCCCGACATACGCACAGGGACGCACACAGCACAGAGACATCGTGTTAGCAAGCACACAGACACATCAAAAAACACACACATATAGCAGCACACAAGAGTACACCTCCTTACAGACAGACCTCGCAGACACAGGTGCATAGGGGAGCACCACTCACAGACGCACCGAGAGCACACACCTGGTAGACACGGAGAAGTGCATCTCAGTCACACGGAGGTGGGTAGGAGTGCACACATCACAGACGCACCAAGAGCCGCCGTACAGCCCCGGGCTGCCTCGTCTCCTCCTATAGCGTAGGGGAGTCCCACCCGGGTTTGCCGCTGATTTATTGTGCTTGTCGCTCGCTTAGTTGTGGAAATTTCTCAACGCCAAAAGGATTGCTAATAAATTAACCTAAAGGAGTGAACTGTTGTATTCCCAATGCAACACCCGTGAGGTTTGTGAATACTGCGGTCACTACGTTTTATACGTTGCGCATGTTGTGTTTAACTTACCTCGAATTGCACTTCCAGGTTATTGCGGCTGTAGATGATCAAGTTTCAATTAGAGTGTTACTTATTTAAAGAGAGGGATGTACGCAAATCAGAAGCGAGCGTGTGTTTGTGTGTGCGTTCTCGGTACTGTTCACCAATTCCTAACGTTATCGCCGACATCAAAGCTTCTGTACGCTTTATCGCATTTAAGAGAATAGCTGTATATACTGATATAAACTGCGCAGTATATCACGTCTTCCCGTTCCATGTTTTATGTTGAGACCCGAATGTGCCGCTTGTACATGTCACTTGCAGAGAGCGTATATAATGCAGTGCTTCGACATCAAACGGGCACGGCAACAACGGACTCGCCGTACGCGAAGTCACAAGCAAACGCGCGCTCCGGCGAACGTGTGCATTTTGGCGTATTCAAGAGAGGCACTCGCGAATGCACGAGACGACCCCTCCCGATTCGCAAAAAGACGCCAAGATTATTCACGGGCAACTGCATTCGCAGACACATCTGAATGCACAGGGACACGCGAAGGGACTCCTCGCATTTGCAGAGTCGCGGAATTTTTCAAGGGGGATGGCTTCCAGGGCCCACCGGCATTGGAGGTGTTCAATCGATAACAGCGGCCAGTCAATCGCACCGCCGCTGGCAGCTGAAGGGGAAGTATGTGGGTCCATCGGGAGCTGTCACAGCCCAGGCAGCCTGGCTTTTCCCAACAGGGCTTTTGCTTGCGCCCAGCGCTTGCTCGCCTGCACGGGAGCTGAATTGTGTATCACTGTCGCGTACAGAAGACACGCATTCGTTAATAAAGAGTACACAGAGATGACCTTTATTTACGATCGCGAAACAGCCCTTTGAGACCGGGAGTCTTCGTATATCCAGAGACCTGGGATTAAATATATGCAGATAAGCAGGCAACGTGTTGGCAAAACAAAGCGGGCAAAACAAAGCGGGGAACACGCTCGTTCTAAAACATTGAACACCATCGTCATTACCGGCCATGATCTATCCACTGCTGAATGAAGGCTGCTGCCAAATTGCCGCAATCCCTCATTGTCCCCGCGAGCCGATTTCATAGCTCCTACGGTGAACATCCTCTCGAATGTGCTGCCTCCCGCCTTTGGCTGGAATTCCGTCATAAGTCTCGACCATCGAAAATCGTCCTTTTGTGTGATGTGCAAGGCCACCTATTGTTGTGTCTCCAATTTGAGTTTTATCTCGAATCTGTGTCTTTAGCTCAATGTCTCCCAGTGCAATTCAAAGCGATGTTCCACTTCTTCTTTGCATGTGTTTAAGTGTTTGTCCAATTTTATTTATCCACACTCATATTTCACATCCATATCTTACGTGAAGTAATGTGCGCTGATTGAAAATACGATTCTTTTAGGCACACTGGAATATTGCTTCTCACTATTACCTTAAGGTTTCAAAAATATTCGAACGTGCATATCACTCACTTAATAATTTATAGGGTTACATACATGTGAAATTAATACTCTGATGTTTTATCTGCTTGAATTCCTCCAACAAAAAATATTCACTTGCTTACCATACTTGTAATTTGCTCGTATATATATTTGGAGTCCAACCTTTTCATGTATTTTATGGGTCTATATCTCTAATACAATTTCAGAAAACATTTGCCAATTTCGCTGCAATTAACTTTGGTGAAGACATGTCTCATTGGCAGGATAAAACTAGGGTAAGCTCCTGGAACTTATATTACAACTGCGGACATCATCAAAGAAGCGGGACCAGTTATCAGAATAAAAGCAGTTGAATCAATTTACAAAATGTTCTCAGGAAAATCTAGATACTGTACTTCAATTATGGATGATGCCTCAATCATGTTTTTATATATACAGTGAGGGAAACAAGTATTTGATCCCCTGCTGATTTTGTACGTTTGCCCACTGACAAAGAAATGATCAGTCTATAATTATTAATGGTAGGTTTATTTGAACAGTGAGAGACAGAATAACAATAACAACATTCAGAAAAACGTATGTCAAAAATGTTATAAATTGATTTGCATTTTAATGAGGGAAATAAGTATTTGACCCCCTCTCAATCAGAAAGATTTCTGGCTCCCAGGTGTCTGAGATTAGGAACACACTCTTAAAGGGAGTGCTCCTAATCTTAGCTTGTTACCTGTATAACAGACACCTGTCCAAAGAAGCAATCAATCAATCAGATTCCAAACTCTCCACCATGGCCAAGACCAAAGAGCTCTCCAAGGATGTCAGAGACAAGATTGTAGACCTACTCAAGGCTGGAATGGGCTACAAGACCATTGCCAAGCAGCTTGGTGAGAAGGTGACAACAGTTGGTGCGATTATTCGCAAATGGAAGAAACACAAAAGAACTGTCAATTTCCCTCGGCCTGGCGCTCCATGCAAGATCTCACCTCGTGGAGTTGCAATGATCATGAGAACGGTGAGGAATCAGCCCAGAACTACACGGGAGAATCTTGTCAATGATCTCAAGGCAGCTGGGACCATTCTCACCAAGAAAACAATTGTTAACACACTACGCCGTGAAAG